TTTCACTGAGCGCCGCGGCTGTCATTACAAAGCGGCAGCAGCTGCACCAGGACGTGCACATTCGAGTGCATCGCTTGAATGTGCTTAGAGCAAATAACAGCAAGTGGCCGCTGTCACACATTTCACAGAAATTACATTATCAGCAGATAAAGGTTGTAAATCGTGGATTCATGGAATATTTTCATCCCTAGTTTATCCTGATTCACACAACACACCCACTTATACATTTTGGATAGTAAGAGCACAATAAGTATTTTTTCAGCCTTTCAACCAACCTGTTTCTTTATTGGAGCCAGTTCTGTTCTGTCTCTGTGCCGTGTGAGCTCCTCGGAACATTAAACAGTGCGCTGACAGATTAGAAATAACGTAAGTACTTTGAATGGTAATAGATCTACAGTACTTTCCTCTGATTACTCATGTGCTACAACGCTCAGGGAACGAAAAAAAACTTGCTTCACGCTGGCTAAGCTGGCTAAAAAAATTAAACAGTCGCTCAGTGCTTCAGTTTGGCGCTGAAGAAGACAGCCAATCACTGCAGAGAACGGAACGGGTCACGTGCTGCTGCTGCTGCTGTTGCTCTGGAGGCGAGGAGGAGGCGCGACGTGTGCACAAACGGAAGACATGTGTCCCGGACCGTCCGGGTCACGGGAGATCATGTCATTTTGGTGGGGACTTTTTAGTCCTCACCAAATATTGGTGGGGACATGTCCCCATGGTCCCCACGCAAACCTACGCCCTTGATGTCAGTAGGATCATCTATGTATTTTTCATGATAACTATATTCAAAACAGTCCTCCACTGGGAATAAGAATTCTCAGTAAGATTTCCTGGAGGAAAAGTTAGATCAATGGTGAGGGGCTTCAGCTGTCGCTCAAGGATTTTAATTCATTGCTTCCAAACAGTGGGTCTGCATCTTCACTTTAATAATTGTCTTCTGTATACTCTAAATTGGCTTACAGTATGTTGGATGTGAAGTAGTTTAGATAAAACATTGGAACATTCTAACTCATTCTAAAAAGTTCAGAGTCTAAAATTGTCTGTTTGCTGTGGCGGTATATTATTGTCCTCACAGTTGCACACTTTGAGCATGAATCACATTTCTTCCACAACATTTGGCAAAAGTCGACGTGGCCCGCCAACAGAGCTGTGAAAATATTTGCAGAGAAATGGATTTGAGCGAGACTATGGCCTTTTAGGCTTGATGCTGGGATACGGCACTATGTTTCACATTTCAAAATGACTGGAACAGAATCTGAAGTAGATGGAGCTGGGTTTTTATTTTTTTATTTTCCATTTCACTGCCTCCCACATCTGCCGGTATGATAAGCAAGCAAGCAAGCAATACAAGCAATAACCTCTCTTTCAGCAATAACCCAGACTTTAACACCCATAATGTGGCCTCAATAAATAATGTCATGTTTTCAGGGGGGTTGTATTTTTCAGCTATTTAGTCGCAAGCATTTGGTCTATTTTGCTTTTGGAGTAAATGGCTCTGAACACATTAAGGAGTTATGAGATGCAGTGAAAATTGCAGCCTTTGTGACTTCTGATTACACAGTAAAGACATTGTGTTGTTCATCAAAACAAACTCTCAAACAAGTTATTTCAAATGAACAGATGAGCTTGTGCTCAGCTTTAATTGCATGTCCAACAAAACATCTCTTATCACAGGAAGTGCTCTCTTACTTTGTGCTCTCTGACTGACATCCACTGACTTGACTCACTAGGGACACCACCAGGCTGGTAAAATGCATGACACTGAATGCATATCAAGACAGACATCAGAGAAGTGACAGGTCTACAGGAAGTTTTAGAGCAAGCACTTTCTGATGACTAATAAATGACAAACCATATGGTGGTTTAGAATGTACTTTATCACGTGTCACTTGGGAATCAGTCTTTCATACAGGTAATGAATTCAAACCTTTTCACATGTACAGGTTGCAGAAGCTAATCCCGGAAGTGATATATAGTAAAGACATGTGTTTTTGGAAAAAGCATGTATGTAGTGTTATACTCTGTAACATTGTTATCCAAAACACATCTATGTACATTAAATACAATAGTAGTGCCAGCATGTAGTGTGGAGTATCACTACAGTACATGGGAAAAATGCTTGTATTTGATAATGGAATGTAATATGAGAACATTTTAACCCTTTAATGGTTTCCTCAACCATTCCACCACGATCTATATCTTCTTGAAGCATGCTAGGAACAGAAATCTCATTTAGTTTTAGGCATGTTTACCATCTAAGGGCATCTCAGGTCTATAAATAAACAAACTAGAGGTCCCAAAAAAAAGAAAAAACATAAGAAAACTTTTTTTTTGTAATGCTCCTACATAAAAAAAAAATACATTGCTTTCTCCAAGGAGTAAACATTAAAGGGTTAAATTATGTTTATTTTTATCTAATATTATCATTATTTTCATTGTTTTTGTGTATGTATTTTTTCAAAACATAAAATTCACATCACAAACAAATGTCTTTTCAATCTGAAGAAACCAAGACGGAAAAATTAATGCATGAAAAAGATTTATTTGATTGGCGCATTGACTCCGGCAGTGACACTTACAGAGGGGAGATCGTCTGCTGCTGTAGAACATCTCAGAGCATACCCCCCCCCCCCCCCCCCCCCCTCCCCCCCGGGGTCAAGCACCATGGTGTTGGCTAGAAGCATGGTGTGAAGGAGGCGCAGGCGGGGCAGGAGCCAGAGCAGGAGCCAGAGCGGAAACCCGAGTAGGAACCAGGAGCTGAGGAGGCGCTGGGGAGGTGGTGGGTGTTAAGAGCTTCAGGAAGGGCTGTTTATCGGGGAGTGGCTGCTTTTAAACAGCCCGCTTTGCTGTCAGTGGATTGACAAGCGCTGTGCGATTGGCAGGCCCTGGCGTGCCCTGGATGGGTGAGAGCCGTGGCCGGTCTTCAGTCTGAATATCCGCGTTCAGCTTCATTTTTACACACTTTGAATGATAATAATTTAAACAGAAAATAGTAGAAATAAACACACACACAGATCCAGGACAACAAAGAAACAAGAATTACAAATAATCCATACAAACAATACAAATAATACTCCAGGCAGCATGAACAAATAGTAAGGCTATCCAAAAATGTCTGTAAACTGGTTTTATTTTCACAGCTGCTTTTGAAAGCATTTGAAAACATCACATTTATCCTCAGAATCCCCTTCTGAATGTGCACACGAGGTAGAGGCCGACAGAATCTCTCTCTCTCCGCCTGTTGAAAGCGGCTGTGCGATCGTGTGGGGTGCGTTTCATTAGTCTGTCAGAGCGCATGATATTTAGAGCCGCGCCGCCCAGGCCAACGCTGGAAAACTCAATCAGCACTCTGATTTCATAACCCCAAAGCACTGACAGGGCTTATTTTATCACCACGCTGATTCATTCTAATAAACGCTAGCTGCCCCGTCGCACCACGCCTTGAAATACAACCCAACCCCCCCTACATCACTATCCACTATCCAGCTCTGGCTCCTCCTGTCCTCCTTGGGCCGACCCAGGGGAAAAGCCATGGGGGCGGAGGATAAATCAGAATTGTCAGGGCTGGAAGCTGTAGATAATCCATTGCTGCTGGTTCATGCTTAGCACCCGCCCACCATGTCTGGAGCGCGCACAAATCTGGACCGGTGCTTGCCTTGCTATAGGGCCATTGATTGCGAGACGAGAGCGGCGATAAATAAGGGGAGGCATGGTGCGCGGGGTGAAGGAAAACAATTATTGGCGGAGGTGGAAAGCACATAAAGTGAAGAATGATAAACACTGTGAAATATGATTGACTGCCGGGTGATTTATGGAGGCCAGGGGACGAGCGGAGAGGCCTGGGCCGGAGCTGATATCCTTGAGGGGAGATGAGCGCTCACTTTCCCCTCCCACAGAGCAGAGGCTTGAGCAGTATGGAGCTGGAATGGACCGTAAGATCAGCAGCTATGTGATCATACCGATGGGCTAATCTTTATATATAATCTTTTAAAATTGTATATAGAGTTATGATTGTAATGGTTACCTGCATTGTTGGAAGCATTAGGATGGCCATATATAGGGCACATTCACACTTGTTGGTTGATTCACTTAAACTGGACCAACTCTGGGTCACTTGGGTTAAATTGTGGTTCAGAAATGCTCTACAGTGTCCGTGGATGTTCAACCACCAAACGACGGAAACATGTGTCCACTAGGCTCTTTGTCAAGTCAGTTTACATCTTTTAAAACTGATCTGACACTTTTTTTTTTTTTTTATTGAAGTCTTACCCTGAGGTTGGTTTTTTATTGATGTGTGTGGACATGTTGATTTTCACCAGAAATGCCCTAAAATGTTGCTTTTGTTGATTTTGATAATCATCCGTGTGCTAATAATAATGTATCACTGTTGCCCGCTACAGATGTTCTCTTAGAGACAATAAAGTTTTATATTTCTTTCCTTAATTATGTCCCCAAGTGAACCAGACCAGATGATCCAGTTAATGTGTGACCTTGCCATAGTCATGTAGACATAGTGCACAACATTAAAAGTCTGTCAATCCCTCTACCTGCTTCACCACAACCAAGTTTATTTTGAAAAATACTGTAAGCTCTTAATGATAATTTGCACTGCCGACGTCTTTGTTGCCAAGGTCTAAGTTTGCATAATCAATCACTTTGAAGTTTTTATCTTATTGCATTGCACCATTTCCTAGTTACTAAAACTGTGGTACTTGTATGGCATGGAGGGCCCTCTGTAGTTTGCACATTTGTATATTTAAAGATGAATTATTTGTTTTGCTTCCTACAACCTCAATTGGCTTTGCAAGAATAATTTGTACTCTTTCAATATGTACCTTAAAAATTCCACACAACTGTTACTGTAACTAACTATTGATGTGAAATTATTAATCACAACTAATATTAGATAGTAATCAAATAATATTGTAAAATAAGAGACCGCTTATCTTAATGTACTTTGAATGAATGATTAACACAATTGTGTGCATGCGTGTCTCCCACAGACGACAGATGACATTGTGTCTTCGGCGGAGTGTTCGAGTGACGATGAGGACCTGGAGGAGTGCGACTCGGGACACGCAGGTGGGATGGGTGTGTTGGCTTGTGCCTGCTCTCAGTGTGGTCTACTTCTCCTTCTATTATTTGATTTGCTGCAGAGGAGTGTCTCCTCTTAGCATCAGGTCCCATGGAAGCTCCAAGTGTAACTTCATAAAACCCTTGTGTAGCAGCCAGCGTAGTTTTAGGGTTGTTTTATTGGACAAGTGGATATAATAAAATACCAGAGAGATAAGATTAAACTTGTGGATGGTGTGATGTTGTTTAAATCGATGTATTAGTGCAGTTATAGAGACAAAAGCTTGAGTAAATATGCAAGGAAAGACACGTTTATGTGTAAATAATAATGATAATAAAAAGCACAGTTCATACACAAGGCTTCTCAGTGCTTAAAAAAACAAGAATAGAAATATTACAGTTAAGTAATCTGTACGTATAAAGGTAAAAGTAAGTCATCTTTATGTACAGTATATAGCTCGTTTCACAAGGATAGAATCTCCAATGTGGCTTTACAATAGTAGAGCAACTTTGCAACGTTTGTGTAGTTTCAATTAAATATCTTTCAGTGTTATAATTCCTAAATACATATCGCATAAAATAGGGAATATGTTGAATAGTAGAGAAGTGACTGATCTGAAAGGACTGCAGGAAAGATGTTCTATATATTTGTCCTACTTCATAACAATTACCGCTATAACTAGCATTCTAACTTATAGTATCTGAGAAATGCAAGTTACACTTAGCTATGGGGCCACTGGTCGCAGACATGACCGAGCATTGATACTAATTTTGCGCCCTCAGCATTTGGTGGGGAGCCAAACTTTGACTCAAAGTCTTGAATTAGTATCAAGCCTCATGTCGCACGCACTGATGCTTCAAAATGTATCTGTCTTGTACCCGGTTGATCTCCTATTGCTGTGTGCGTCCTTCTTCTGACAGTGGATACATTTTGAGTTTCTTCTGAGAACAAAGATGCTTTCAGCCAAGATACTGTGATATGTAACGGTCTATACCTGCAACAGAGCCTCTCCCCCTTCTCCTCCTTCTCTCTACTTTTCTCTTGTTTGTACTTATGTTTTTTTCTTTCCGTCGGAGGCTTGCCCTGAAACATTCTAATAGAGAACAGATATCCTCGAATTTCTGTGCACATCGTCTCTCTCTCTCGCCCCTCCCTTACACACATACACTCTCTAAAAGCACTGGTCACTTTACAGGTGACTCAAAGTGAATAGCACGACTGAAATATGAGAGTAAAGCTGCCGTCAAAGAGAAAGGCTGGTTTTGAGGACACTTGGGTTTGCCTCATGTTAGTCTCCAAATATCATGTTTATCAAAGGCAGGGCAAATATAACATGTAGGTGGAATACATTCTTGTATAAAATAAAGCTCCCATTGATTTTACCCATAGACTTTTCAAACTAAGGCAAGACCGAGGTGATTCTGGGATTCAACCTGCATATTAGGCATATTAGGCAGGCCCTGGTTACTACTGTGATGGGAGACCTCTGGGAACACCAGGTGTCGTATTAGGCCGTTATAAAGAACCAAACTATTGCTGTGTATGTGTGTGTCTGTGTCTGTGTGCGTATGAGTGTGTGTGCGGTGGAGTGTGTGTGTGTGTGTATTTGTGTGGGTTGGCCAATGGCACAAACAGGGTGTCTTGCCTCGGTCTGCCCCAGGGCTTGCATTTACCCTCATGACAATCACATCTTTTACATGCATAAATTAAACTATAAAAGAAAAAAATCAAGGAAATATTCAAACATGATGTATTCGTTCCTCTGTAGATGAATGTATTCCACATATCTGTTGATTTAGCAATGTAACCCTTGGAGCATTTTCCTCCTGCTATGCTCAATAGAAACTCGCTTACTATGAGAAAACCTGCTCCCCTCGGCCCAGGGCGAATCATTAACAGCTGAGACCGTTTGATTGCTTCACTGTCCTTCAGAGCTCCATGATGGCCAGCTAATTGATGCAGCATTAATCTGGCTAAATATGGCTGAGCCTAGCATATGTCCAGTGTTTGCAGCCCATAATCAGGCTCCCACAATGCCCTGGCCTTTCACGTTGGTTATCACAGCTCACACAGCACCACGGATAATCAACCCTGTTTTAATATGGAGGAAAGCCTAGTAAAATGTTAATATTCATCCTGCAATATTGCTCATTTATTTGCTTTGAGGCCTTATCAAAACACAATAGCAATTGTTCCTTAAAATTTGGACCATGTACTTAAAGCGCGTTTGATGTAAGCCCAAAGTAATTTTCCCCATAGGTGCAAGGCTCTTTATCTCCAAATACAAATGGTTTGACTAATTTGAAAAGAACTGTTGTTAAAGAGACATTTTTACAGCATGTTTAGACTGAGGCTCAACTCCAAGTGTTCTCAAAGTGATTAAGCAGCAAAGAAGTTTTATAATATACAGAAAAAGGTATCCTCTCCTCAAAAAGTGTGCTATGGTACGGGTCAACAAACACAGGTCTGTTTTATTGCTATGTTCCTTTAAACAGTGAAAACAACCAATCACAAAAGATTATACTGTATCAGTTTATACCGTGGTCAGTGAGGACTTGAATCGAAACTGCCAACCATTTATCAACTGTTTTTAGATTTGTGGTGCCACCTCTACGGAAAAGCCAGATCCCCTCAGACATCTAAAGCTAAGCAGGACCGGGCCTGGTTAGTACTGTGATGGGAGACCTCTGGGAAAACCAGGTGCCACAGTGTTTGGCGGCTGTAGATTGCCAAACTGTGGTTGTGTCCTTTGGCCTGACACTTCACCAACACTGCCTAGAATGAGTCTGGTGTGTGTGTGAATGGCCAGTGGTGGTCGGAGGGGCCAATGGCACAAACTCGTTGCCTTGTCAGCTATGACTAGTTATCACCACCGTGTATAGAATAATGCTATATGAAACGTAGCAGCTGAGGCATCACCATAGCAACACACAACATTGAGCACCAAAGGTCAAATTCCAGTTATAATTATAAAGTTACTTTTGAAGGTCTATTTCTCAGCAGCATGTTTTATTATAAAAAAGATAAATGTAGGTCAATGGTAAATACTTTTTCTACTAGTTTCAAAGGCTCCTGGCTAAAAATCCCTTTTTTAGCCAGGCTAAAAAGTCCCTTTCCTCAAACATGTTTTTGAGAGTGTGGACAATATGTATTTATTTTACAATATGTATGGAGTGTGTGAGTGATTATACCGGGGTCCCCAGACCAGTGCAGAAAGGGCTGGGGTGGTTACAGATTTTATTTCAGACCAAGCATGAACAAAGCAGACTCCGCTCATTTCCTCAAATGAGTTCAGTCTTGACCTGAAGACTTGAGGAAATGGGTCAAGTCTGCTCTGCTTGGTTTGATAGAAAACCTGCAACCACACCGGCCCTTTCTCGACCGGTTTGGAGACCCCTGGTTCAGAACATGGTATAAGCGGATTCGAGAAGGAGCAGAGGGGTTGTATGGTTTAAACGCAGTCCGAGTTTGAAAGGCACCAACCTCACGGCTCCTCATTGCTCCAGTCTTACCTAACTAATTTTCACAGAAATTAAGCAAATGCATACATCTCATCAGAGAACCCCAAGAGATAGAAATCGACTTCACATGGACGGACCATAGATTTAAATATTGTTGTCAAATATATATTGTCAGAAATTCAGTTAAAAAAAATAAGAGCAAACCAAAAACACTCTTTTTGGTAAAACAAGGGGACATCGTTCTAATAGACCCGTGCTGTAGCACTCTTGACCTGTCCACACACACACCTGTTTACACACACACACTCATACGCTCTGTACATTTTCCATGTCGACACAGAAATTCATCTCCTCATTCCTTGCCCCGCTTCCTGTCGTTTGAGGTTTTTTTGCATGCCATGAAGTTTTGTGTTGCCTTTTCTGTGATTGCACATTGAACATCTCTCTTGTGTGACGCCCTTCGAATCTATTTCCTATATGATTTGGTTTTGGGTGGGTTTGGAGTGCTTGACGTGGGCTTTTCTGAGGGGTGGGGTTGACTGCGTTGGTGTTGTGTTGTTGTATTTTTTTTGTTGCTTTTATTTGTTTATTATTATTATTTCATCACCATGTCTCCATCATCGTCGTCACCATCCTCCAAGCAAGGACAGAGCCGCTCCTACCGTTTTTTGCCTCATCTTGTGCCGCATGAACTTTTGGTGGTTGGAGAAATATTTGAAAGTTCCCCTCCCCCTCATCCCGATCATGAAGTTTGTGTTTTATTAGCTTAAAAAAAAAGAGAGAGACTTCCCCTTCCCTCAAATCAACTCAGTTCCCCGTCACTCCGCTCGCATCACCACCGCCACTTTCCATTTAGGGAAATTGAACGGCAACAAAATCTTTTCTTGCCATCACCCCTTACTTTTTGGCCTCAAGAAAGTTGTGTGTGAAAGAATGACCCCCACTTGTGTTGCCTCTACCCAAGTTACCCCCGTCTACTTTCATTTGCCACACCCCTTTTCCATGTCTCCATTCCATCCCAAGCGCACTCCACTTTCCTTCCTTTCCCACCGCCTTTTTTGCATCTACATGTTTGTTTGAATTGCGGATGGCATAAAAAAGACTTTTATTGCCACAAAGTATATCTGTTTTTCTATTCTATCTGTTGCTCCAAGTAGAAGGTATTTGTGGCATGCAATGTTAACTGGATTGTACCTTTTTAGAATATGGCGTATACCTCCCCACGTCCTCCTCCCAACCACTCTCCTCCTGTTGCTTTAGCATGCACTTGATTGGCAGACATTGCGTGTGCTTTTCACCCCATTACCCCGGCTGGCTTCTACTACATGTCAACGCGTGTGTGTATTGCTAGGGGGCTACGCGAACCTCCGCTGGTCCCCTTGATGCCAAATGTGTTTCTGTGCTTGTCCCGTCAGTCGCCAACAAAGCAGCAATGTCTGTTTGCTGTGTGTTGGCTGTCTTATTCCGTGTTTGTCTGAAATACAATTGTTAAAACTTTACCATGGTTCCCCCCCAACCCGCCTGACCCTACGGAGTTCCACAAGAGA